GATCTGAACCCTCAGCGGGAGCGCTGCCGCACTCCCAAGTGGCGCACTCTCCAGTGCGCCACTGGGCTGGCCCACAATTTGCTCCTTTTAAACACCATATAAAAACTCATGCTTATCGATCCATTTCCGCTTGGGAATATCTAGGTTATTTCCATTTTTGCTATTATAAAAACAGTAAACTGAACAGATGTGTGTTTTTCCTGAGTTCATATGCAAGAGTTTTCCCTGGAAACAGAAAGTGATATTTCTGGATTGTAAGTTAAGGCTTATTTGTAATTTTACTTAATAGTGCAAAACTTTCCCTGTGATGGCTGTACCAATTATGCTGTTAACAGTGATTACATATTCTATTTTTCTATATCCTTCTAAATATTAGATATCATCCAACTTTAAAATTTTTGCCAACTTGATGAGTGAAGAGGTATCTCATTTTAATATGCACTTCTCTGCTAACTAGTGATATAACAATGTGTATTTCTTCATACATTTATTAGCAATCTGAGTTCTTTCTCTGAATTGCCTATTTGTATCCTTCACCCAGTTTTACAATGGCTTGTCTTTTTCTTGTGGATCTTTAGGGAGTTTTTATATATTGTGGATAATAATGATCTGTTATGTACATGGCAAGCACTGTTTCCCAGGCTCTAGCTTGTCTTTAACTGTAATTACAGTATTGTTGAATGGAAAAATAAAAGTTTTACATTTTGATGTAGTTGAATTTGTATATCTTTTCTGTAGTTTATGTTCGTGTTTTTATATTACATAATTATAAAGGTCATTTTATATGTCCTTAATTGACAAGTAACATTATAGGATTCTTCATACACATTATCTCATTTAATCTGCACAGTAATGTCTCAAGCTAAGCAGCATTATATGCAGCACCTACCATATCACAGATAAAAGCACCTGAAGCTCAGAGGATTAGCAACTTGCTTGAATTCATAAAGCTGATAACTGGTGAATTTGGGATCCACACCTCAGTCTGTATGATGCCCAGGTAATACTGAACCACACTTATTGAGTGCTTTCACTGTGATTTATAAAGATGTATAATTACGAGATTATTTTCTTTTTTCATTCCATTCACTTATGTTCTATTTATCTTTGTTCTATTCATATTGTCATCAAGATTATACTTGTCTCATTAAGCAAGTTTGCAAGCTTCCCTTCTTTTTTTATTCTTTATAACAATTTGACCAAGATTGTGGTTAACTGCTCCTTGGAAGTTTGGTAAAACTTGCCTGTAAAACCCATCTGGGCCTGGTGCTCTTTTTTGATAATGTAGTTTTGAACTACTGTTTTGATATTTTAAATGGTCATTGCCAGACTTATGTTTTCTATTTTGTATTTAAATTTGGGCAATTTATAGTCCACACCCTCCTTTTTATCCATGAGAAAACTAATGTTGGGCTGGCTGGTTAGCTCAGTTGCTTAGAGTATGGTTCTGATAACACCAAGTCCCAGGGTTTGATCCCTGCACTGGCCACCCACCAAAAAAAAAAAAAAAAGAAGAAGAAGAAGAGAAGAAAACTAATGTCAAAAGAGAGGAAAGGTTTTGCCTAAGGTTACACAGAAAGAGAACAGAAAAGTTAGCTTTAGGACCCAGTCTCCTAAAGTGTTGGGCTTGTATCCAGTAAACCACAGGTGCCTATAATGGAGATAACAATCATCTATTCGCATGGCCTATAGATTTTTCACTATAATCTAATAAGATAATGGGTGCAGAGTTGTTTGCAATCTGGAAATTGAAAGAATTGTTTGTAAGCTTGTAGATTTTTTATTCCCATCTTTGAGTCCTGTTGGAGCTCCTACAGCACTTGTGCCTTTCTAAAATGCCTCAACCACATGGCCTGTTTGTGTCCACCAATAACCAGTCTACTGGGTCTCCAGTGGGGTTTGCTAACCACATGGCTTATGCTCATGCATTTGTCTTATCTACTTCCTTAAGTAGCAGAAACAAAGTCTAATTATCTCATGGTAAAAAGGGTATAGATTTTAAAATAAAGGGCTTTAAAGTGAGACTTACTAGATTTCAATCTCACCTCTACCACTTCTCACTGGGCAATCTTGAACATGTTTCTTAGCCTCTCTATGACTTACTTTCTTCCTCTGATTATGGGGAAAAGTAACAGTACCTACCACAAAGAGTGGCTGTGATAACTAAAAGATAAAATGCATGCAGAGCATATAGCAAAATACCTGGTATAGAGAAAGTACTTAATAAATGTGGTCCATTACTACTATTATTAGCTTTAGCATCATACAGATGGAGGTGTGAATCCCAGGTTTACCACTTATCAGCTCTATGACCTGAAACAAGTTGCTAACCCTCTGAGATTCAGGTTTTCTTATCTATAATGTAGTAGATGTTGCATACTGCTGCTTAAGTTGGTAAATTGTTGCACACATTAGATGAGAGAATGCATGTGAACAATCCTTTTATGTTGCTTGACAGTCAAGATGGGGATCAGCCGAGTCTGTTGGGTGCTGACCTGTTTTGGCAAATCTTGAAAAGAAATGGAAAGTTAGAAGGAAAAAAATGGATACTCAAAGTTATTCTAGGTATATCAGACATAGTCAGTGCTTATGGAGAGAAGTGGATGAGAGCCATCATGGAAAATGTTGGGGTGGTGAGCATCAGAAGTGCAGTGTATGATGGGTGGGGCCAGAGAAGGGCTGGACTGCTGATGGACAAATGACAACTACTTACAAAAGTGAAGAGGCAATAAAACAACAACAACAACAACAAATTTTTGGAGAGGTATCCATATGAGGCACATAGGAAAAGCAGCTCTCATATGATCCTCTCCCCCACTTACCCGCCCGGCTTGCATGGGCCACAGAGGTCTAACTTACAATGACAATGATGAAATCAAGCCAGCACCAGGCACTGGTGAAATACTTCCGAAATCCAAAGGCCACCCATTTCAGACCCATCTCCAGGATAAAAATATATGTGAAAATAATGTCAGTGCAATTTAGTAATGCTTGAATATTGGGTTGTTCAGCAAGGTAAACATCTTCAAATACCTGAAATGACAAACCATAGTCACAGGCCAGGTTGAGTATTTACAAAGAACTACTTGTTGACTTTACTTTTTGTTTTTCTTCCTTATACGAATAAAACTAGTATTTCTATTGGTGACGTTTTGCTTAAAAGGTATTAAGGCTGAACTTTTCCAATGGAATCAACTCATTGAATAACTGAAAATGGAAGAAGGAAAATCCTATTTCTAGAATTATGTTGCTACTATACTTCCCCAGTCTCTCATCCTGGCTCCCAAGATATGAAAACATCTTCCTAATAGACCACCACACCATTTCCTGTACTTCCTAATCCTTTCAGCTCTTGCCAAATATATCCTGCCAACTCTTTCAGAACCACCCAGTGGTGGACCGTCTTCTTCATCCTCCCAGTTTCCTCAGTGGCTCTATTCAGTGCCTTTGCAGTGCTTACATTAAATTCAAATACCTTTGTCCATGGTAGATCCTGCCAATCCTAAGGCCCATCATCTTCCACCACAAACAGCTTTATCCATTTATCCCAGTGTTCCCAACAAATATTATCATTTGGAATGTATACCATGACACACAAAATTTGTGAAGCTCTGGGCTAGAACTCCCAGTGTAAATTACTTTGAATATCACACATTCATTGTGGAATTATGGAAATGGAACATCATGACTTTCAGAGGTACCCTTTTTATGCAACATCCAAATATTTCCCTCCACCAAAGTGTGTATATGATTATGTGGAATCTATATAACTTGAATATAAACTGCCCTTTTGGCCTTTACAAAGTTACTAAGGATGAGAAAAGGGAGAGAAGCGGGCCTAGTACTAAACTTGCCTAAGACATTTAGGCAAACACTGAAGGCAGGAAGGAGATCAGCCCTGCTGTTGGGATTAAGGTAAGTCTACCCACAGCCTTGGGAAAAAAGAATGCAAAAGAGTAAAGCAGTCTCACTTCCAATTGCCAAGTGGGTTTTTGATTGGAGAAGACCCTCCATCTCCTCCTCTGCCCTGCTGGCTCCTTACCAGCCTTAAGATCTCAGCTTAGTTGATATTTATTAAATGAAACTGTCCTGTTCCAGCAAGATTGGATCAGGTGCCCATCCTACATGGCCCCACATCCCCCATGGCTTCTCTGAGCATATCACTTAATTGCTTCACCTATCTTGGGCTATGATTGCTGGTATACAATTGCTTCATCTATATTCCCTACTAGACTCCAAGGTCCTGAAGGTCAGGGACTTGTCTGTTTGCCTCAGGAAAGACAAATCTGAATGGCCTGGGAAGCTCATTTCCTTCCTCACTTTGGAAGTTTAGCAACAAGCTGACTCAGAAGGTCTGAGATAGCTCAACAGATGAACAGCTGATAACCAGCAACTGAGTTTTGGAGGCTCCCACCTTGTAACTAGCCATTTCCTGAACAAGGAAGCTCCCATTGTTACAAAGTTGTCTAGAAGATCAGAGCTTCTCAAACTCTAAAGAGCCCCAGACTACCTGGGGAACTTGTTACAACGTAGGTTCTGATTCTGCAGGTCTGGGGGGGGGGGGGCAAGACTGCATTTCTAACAGGCTTCCTGATGATACTGATGCTGCTGGTCCACAGACCACATAAAGTGGCAACGAACTAGGTGTTTCTTGTTCTCATCTTTTTACAAATATGCACAGTGAAACAGGCGCTGAGTTCCTCTCCTGGCACCCTCTGCATTGTGTGTTAAGTCTTACTCTGCCCAGCCTATACTTGCCTCTCTGAAAGCAGATGAGAACTAGGAGTGTGCCCTTTGCTACTTCTCTTATTACAAGTTTTCTTTCCATGGCACCACAGGGCATGTGTCTGGGGTGTTCTGACAAGACCACTGCTTTCCCACTGACTAGCAAAGGGCATGGTAGACATCAGTTACCATTTGTGGAATAAATAAAAGAAACTTTACCACTTGAATATGAACAGACACCCACTGAAAGTATAATTACCAGCAGTCTACAGGTGACCCTAGACCAAAGATTAGCAATGAAATATTAAGAGAGTTCCCTGGGACAGTTTTAGAGAAATTTGTTTTTTTTATTTGAGGAATAATTTATATCGCAGTAAATAGATAAATGGGGATGTATGTTGATCATGGTCTATGGTGGGCTCTGGTATGTACTCATCTATTTTCACCTAGAGATCACACAGTGTAAGGAAAGTAGAAAAGTTTAGCCAGGATCTCTCATCTTGTATCTGTTACAAATGGACAAGATTCAGCACATTTGCTAGAAGCAAGCTATAAAAGTAGTGTAACTGCACACGTGAGCCCATTTACTGATTCTGCATGATTGTTGTAATTATGTAGTACTTGGCTTGTGGCCGCTATTGTATCCTAAGAGTATAGAGACAATTGCTCTGAACTGCTGGTCGGCAGAGCATGGAAGATCAGTGGAGCATGTAAGGAGGGCAGAGTATGGAGGGTCAGTGGAATAGAGACTGAGCTTGTGTCTAAAATAGAGCATGTCTGTGAAGCTCACATCTGAAGAATAAAGTATGTCTACCTTGCATAAAGCTGTCAGCAGAGCATGGAAGATCAGTGGAGCATGTAAGGAGGGCAGAGTATGGAGGGTCAGTGGAATAGAGACTGAGCTTGTGTCTAAAATAAAGCATGTCTGTGAAGCTCACATCTGAAGAATAAAGTATGTCTACCTTGCATAAAGCTGCCAGTATCTTCTTTCAATTACCTGACTCATGACCTGCACAGGAAGGGGCAGAAGGATCTGAGATTCCTGCTGGACACACAGGTATAAAGTGCTAACCAGAAGGCATGTGGTAGAGGAGTAAGACATTTCCTGTCCTTTCCAATTGCTAGTGACTTAATGTGAAATGTCTGTCACTCTAAATCAAGAAGGGGGCACCCAGGACTCCATTCACCGGACATAACAAATAGTTAGAGAGTTTAGTTCCATATTATGGCCATTTTAAGGTGAGACACAATATAGAAGAGAAAGGAAGGAGGCTGTGAAAGAGGGAGAGAGAGAAGGAAACATGTAGGTGATAGGAGCGAAGATGCTGTCCCTGAGGGAGGAGGTGGAGAGGAGACAAGAAGGGCCAGAAGGTATGGAGAGAGAGCAGAAAGGAATTTATAACTCTATGGCTATAAAGGCTGATGGTTCAAAGTTATTTCCAAACCTCAATTGGATTCATACCACACGTCGATCTGGAAGGATCATGCATATAAATCAGAATCCTCCTTTTTTTCAAGGGATCATGAATGATGGAAAATACCAAGGCAACTTATTATAGCCTAATCTGGTCCCTGTAGCCCTCTCCCCTAATATTTTACCTTTTAGAAAGCAGCACTATGGACTTCAGGAAAAGAGAGGCTAGGAGCATTGCTGTCTAGAGGAGGAAATATGTAGGCTACAGTGAAATGTCTAGAAATCCTGCAAGAATGAAAGTTAGATGGACAGGCCTGGGGCCAAGTGCCAGACTCCAGTAGCTGCTTTAACGTACTGGTTTAGATTATTCTTTCCCACAGGAAAAGCATCTCTGGCTTGGGGATTTCCCTGTTGAAGCATGACTCCAGAAGCTGTTGTACAAAACTCTGCCCCCTAAGGGAATCAGCAGTGAAGATCCCACTTCTGCCTGGTCTCCCCACATTCACAGTCCCATGAGGGGCCAAATCAGAACATAGCTCCCCCAGCTGCCCTGATGCCCATTGTCTTCACAAGACCATGATAATTTACCAGTGCCCCACTGCTCAGCAGTATCACAAAGATAATAAAGCTCTCAAACCAGCTGTGTTTCACTATTTGGTAGCAGGTTTTCCGCAGATTCCACCAAATGACCCAGGGGGACTTTCTCTTGTCCATGCTACAGCATGGGAAGCAGCAACAGAGGCCTGAAAGGAATCAGCAGTAGCATGATTGTTAGTGTCTGTAGTAAATTGCATTAATAGCCTCAATTCTTCACCCTTCCCTGTATTATACCCCTTGCCATGTGACCTGTACTTCCTCCCATTAAAGAGGTAGAACCTCTTTCCAAGCCCTTGGATTTGGGCTCAGCCATGTGACTTCCTCTGGCGAACAGAATAGAGTAGAAGTCACAGTGCACCAGTTCTGAGCCTAGGCTTTGAAACGCCTTGTGTGCTTCCACTTGCTCACTTGCACATCTCCATAAGAAAGGCATATTCAGGCTAGCCCATTGGTTCTGGGAGGAGGACAGTAGACATGTGTAGCAGAGCCAAGTTGCCCAGTTGAGCCCAGCTAGATCAGCTGATTTCCAGGTAATAGCACTTGCATGAATAAAGCCAGCCAAGATCAGCAGAGAAACCCAGCCTAGATCAGCTGAATCATGCAGGCATATGTTTATATTGTATGCCATTAAGATTTTGTGGTTGTTATAAAGCAATTTTGTTTTCAGTAATAGTATACAGATTATGCCCAAAGGACTGCAGGGAATGAGGTAAGGATGGCCACAAGCTTTGTGAACCACCCAAGCCATACATGAAAGAATTTGATCAATTGTTGAGATGTTTACAGGTAGCTGAACATTTGTTCTCAACACACACAAGCCTTCAGCATGGATGACATCACCCACTCTGCCTTGACTCCTCCTCCCCTTCTCCAAATTCTGCTGATCCTTACTTCATGGTGATTACAACATTCCACTTCTCATCATCTTCCTAAGCCACTGCAAGGTCTCCCCACTCTTCCTTTTTCCTTCCTCCACCTTTCAGAACATCAATAGATTAATCTTCCTAAAAGACTATTTTTCCCCTGCCTTTTGTCCCACTCCTTCCCCCTTCTAGAAATCCACTTTTCTTCTCCATTTCCACTGTTAACACCAGTCCAAATGTAAATCAGGAGAACTGCAGTCTATGGGGAATCCCTAGCCTGTCCTCTGTCCAGTGTTGGCACTGTCAAACAATCTGGAATGTGAATTTGAAACCCATTGTTGGTGTTCTTTCTGGGCCCAGGTTAATCCCAAACTTACAGAGAAATTTTGAATTTTTAGATTTATTTATTCATTTGTTAAGTCACTTGTTTATTTATTTATCAACATTTGTTGAACCCATTATCTGGGCCAGATTCTACTGTCACACTAGAGATACAATGCTGATTAGGTCACAGCCTTTGTTTTTAAGGACCTCATGGTAGAGACTGATACAAATAAATTCCCCACGATGAATACAAGAAGAAAATGAAGGCACATAGGAAGGAGGCACTACATTCACTCAAGGAATCAGGAAAGGCTGCATTTATTGATTGTTTATTAAGTGCCAGACACTCTTCTATGTGATTTAGATTCACTCACGTAATACCCACAGCAACCCTTTGCAGTAGGTACTATTATTATCCTCATTTTATATCCTTTTTTGTAAAAGCACAGAGAAGTTAACTAAATTGAACAAAGTGCACAGCTAGTAAATTTAGAGGCCAGAATTTGAATTTAGACAGTTTGGCTAATGGGCTGAAGATCCTGACTACAATGGCCAAGTTCTTCTCTTGGTCTATGACCTCAAACATCCTGACAATGGGTGTACTAGGGACCATACAGAGTGGCGGGCATGGTGGCCCAGTGGGCTTCCTAGGAGTTTTCTGGAGTGTTTACCCTGCTTGTTGAGCTGTGTGAATGGAGCCTACCTAAAGCAAGAATTTCTTGAAATCCCTTCTTCCTCTACTTCATCATGGCCCCAAGAATCTATGGGTGCCCTCTCTTTGCTTTTGTCCCCAGTAGAAGTAGAATAAAGGCACCTACCAAAACCACAGAGCTTCAAAGAAGAACAGAAATCCCGTCCAAAGATTCTGTGAACTGGATGCAGAAATACTGCCACTTACCTTTGGGCAAACATCTCTCTGGTTCCTTTTTGGGAACCATTTCAGGTAACCATCCAAAGGTATTCTGTGGATCAATGGTGCTGCATTCTGAGAGCACACTGGTAGCATCAGATTTCTGCACATCAGAACGAAGGAAAGGTCAAATCTTTTACCAAGTCCTTCTCTCACAATGGCAGCACAATGGTAGTTCCTTATGGTCTGATTTGTTAGAAATGAAACCAACTGGGAAAAGGCTTCTAGATATGAGGGGTGTCAAGAAAGCACCCTTCCTGTTGAGTCCCCTTCTAAGAGCTCTGCCCAGCCTGACTTCAGGAGATAATTCTGTGACTACTCTCCATGGCTGAGGAGTGGCAAGGCATGCAAAAACACAATATCTTAATATGGTCTGATTTGTTAGAAATGAAACCAACTGGGAAAAGGCTTCTAGATACGAGGGGTGTCAAGAAAGCACCCTTCCTGTTGAGTCCCCTTCTAAGAGCTCTGCCCAGCCTGACTTCAGGAGACAATTCTGTGACTACTCTCCATGGCTGAGGAGTGGCAAGGCATGCAAAAACACAATATCTTAATCTTTTCCTCCCTACAAATTATAACCCTGATAGGCTGCCTAACTCCAATTAGGAAAGCCAGGTGATGAGGAGAAGGCTACTTTACTGAGGGTGTAATTTTCAGCTATCTCAACTCCTGGAAAAATAGGCCAGTGTTTCTCATTGATTTTGCCCTCCAGGAGACATTTTGGCAATGTCTAGAGACATTTTTGATGATGGCAACTGGGGGATGCTCCTAGCATCTATTGGGTAAAGGCCAAGAATACTGTTAAGCATCCTGTAATTCGCAAAAAAGCCCACTGCACAAGACTCTCTTTCCCCAAATGTTGCAGTAGCCAAGTTGAGAAACCCTGGCCTACACTTTTGCTTAAGACTCAATTCTGGCAATTGTCTCTGCATTCATTCTGATATTTTTCCATAAAGGCTATCCTGGAGAAGGTGTGTGGATGAGCCACATGTTCCTTCTAATAACACCCTAAGAAAATTACCTTTTGGGGATTCTGTAAGGTCAAATGAGCATCATCTTCAGGGAAAACGTCAATTTCCACACTTTGAACGCCTGGGCTGGTGGGCTTCTCGGTCTCCTGATGCAGTTCATAGGCCTGACACAGAGAAGGCCAGAGTAGAATTAATATTCTTCCTGGACACTGCACTTGAGATGAAACAGGTCAGAATTTTATTTTGTTTTCTGTTTGTCATGAGAATAGTCTGATATTTTTTTTCTTTTGATTTTTTTCTTCTGATATTTTTTTTCTTTTTAAAAACTGTTCCTGGAAAAATTCAAAATAAAATAATTCTGGGCAAACTTTGTCGCTGCATAGTTACCTAATCAAAACTAGAAGAAAACATAGGGAAACACACTCCAGGGTGTAGGGCTGGGCAAAGACTTTATGAATAAGGCCCCCAAAGCACATACAACAAAAGGAAAAATAAACAAATGGGATTACATAAAACTAAAAACCTTCTGCACAGCAAAGGAAACAATCAACAGAGAGAAAAGATAATCTACAGAATGGGAGAAAATATTTGCAAACTACATACCTGACAAGGGATTAATATCCAGAATATATAAAAAGCTCAAACAACTTTACAGTAAAAAAACAAATAATCCACTTAAAAAATGGGAAAGGAGCTGAACAGACATTTTTCAAAGGAAGACATACAAATGGCCAACAGGCCTGTGAAAAAATGGCCAACATCACTAAGCATCAGGGAAATGCAACTCAAAACCACATTGAGATGTTACCTCATCCCAGTTAGAATGGCTATTATAAAAAAGACAGAGAACAAACAAGGATGTGGAGAAAGGGGAACACTTCTACACTATTGGTGGGACTGTAAATTAGTTAAGCCATTATAGAGAACATTATGGAAGTTCCTTAAACAACTACAGATAGAACTGCCCTATGACCAGTTCTATCTGTAGTTGTTTAAGAAACTTCCATAACGTATCCAGAGGATTGGAAATCATTGTGTTGAAAAGATACCTGCACTCCCATGTTTATCACAGCTTTGTTTACAATAGCCAGACTATGGAATCAACATAAATGTCCATTGACAGATGACTGGATAAGGAAAATGTGGTATATATAGACAATGGAATACTACTCAGCCATAAAAAAGAATGAAATTCTGCCATTTGCAGCAGCGTGGATGAGCCTGGAGAAAGTTATGTTAAGAGAAACAACCCAGGAGTAGAAAGAGAAATACCACATGTTCTCTCTTAAGTGGGAGGGGGAGCAGAATCCATGAATAAACAAACAATAAAGAAAGACAGAGAGAGAGAAAGAAAGAAACAGCAATCACAATAATATGTTGAATTTTTAGAAGGAAACAAAAGAACTGTGCTTACTAGAGGTGGAAAAGGGGAGGGGAGGGGAAGAGACAGCTGGGGTCAAAACAAATATCAAAGACTGACCCTAAAAACTACTCCTCTTTGAATTTAATTGGATCAAACTGTTGAGCAATTTATGACCCATGGCACTGTCAAAGACAATAGAGCAATTATCTAGCAATTAGTTGAGCCTAAAATCTGGGATATCAAACGAGGCAGACAGCTGAATAATAAGATCACAGAAAGCAACAAAGAGAGCCCTGCTAAAACAATGGTCATCCCAGGCTGACTACGTACACACCCAAGGATGTGCTCTCTGAAGAGTAGCACCAAATACTTTACATTGTGTGTGTGTGGAGTGGGGTGTGGATTGGAGAGTTAGTAGACATCACTAAAGCAATCTAGCCAAGTCACCAAATAAAAACCCCAGAGAGAAGAAAGGACTTAGTTCTAGAGTTGCTATATGCCGAATTTCCAATTTAAAATGTCCAGTTTTTAACAAAAATTATGAAACATGCAAAAAACAGGAAAGTGTGACCCACACATAGGAAAAGAGCAGGTAAAAGAAACTATATGTGAAAGGGCCAAGATGTCAGAGTTAACAGACAAAGAATGCAAAATAGCTATTATAAATATGCTTCAATAATTAAAAGAAACGACGCTTAAAGAAATAAGGAATTCTATGAAGACAATGTATAATCAAATACAGAATATCAACAAAGAAATAGAAATTATATTTTAAAAAAGAACCTAATGGAAATTCTGAAGCTGAAGAGTGCAATAACTGGGCTGGGCGGTTAGCTCAGTTGGTTAGAATGCAGCCTTGTAACACCAAGGTCAAGGGTTTGGATCCCCATACCAGCCGGCTGCCGAAAAAAGAATTTAAAAACTACAATAACTAAAATTAAAAATGTGCTACAGGGACAAACAATACAATTTACACTGGCAGAAGAAAGAATCCTTGAACTTAAAGATGGATCAATGAAGATTATTCAATCCAAAGAACACAGAGAAAAAAGAACAAAAATGAAAAGAGCCTCAGAGGAATGTGAGCACCATTAAGCACACCAACCAGAAAGAAAGGAGAGAAAGAAAGGAGCAGAAAAAAAATACTCAGATAAATAATGGTTAAAAAGTTCTCAAATTTGATTGAAAACATTAACCTACATGTCTTAGACCATTTTCTGCTGCTATAACAGAATACCCGAGACTGAGTAATTTACAAAGAACAGAGGTTTCCTACAGTTCTGGAGGCCAGGAATTCCAAGATTGGGGGGCCAGCACCTGCATCAAAAGGGTCTTCTTGCTACATCAAAACATGGCAGAAGGCATCATAATGAGAGAGAGAGAAGGGAAGTNAATCAACATTATAAAATTAGAAAAATTAAAATTTTGAGGAATAATTTAGCACTGTAGATGTGGGTTTGGCTGAAACTAAACTGTTAAGGTAAATGTGGTGCTAACAATTACAGTGTGGGCACTTCTGGACTCCACATTGTAGAGGGCTAAAATCTTGATTCTCATCAAGTATGTGTTGATTCTCGTTTGATTTTTAGTAGATTGTTTTTAGGTAATGCATGTGTGGGACAAAAGCCCTTGGTTAAGGGGCAACAGCCCACAGCTAGCGGGCAATGGCCCATCTAATCAACTCTAATCACTGTTTAAGTATGGAATTGTATACTTTAACGATTTTAGAGCTAACAGGTGGTTGACATAATGATTCTGTTAAGAGATTTTAAAGAATTGCTGTAGGGAAAAATGTGAAAAATGTTTGCTATCAGCAAGCTGTCTGTTGGTGGAAACTTTAGAGACAATTATACTTTG